TTGATGTTGTCATACATTTTGTTTATGGAAATAAACTAACGTGGATGCGTGTTTGTGTGTGTATGCAACCACCAAGAGTTGGTCGTGACCACATACACTGCCCTTGCTGCATTGCATCATTTTGACCCGTTTACATGCATGTAGGACAAGCATAAAACCGTCAACCAAATCATACAATGCCTGGTTAAGATTGCAAAATGAAGTATAAAAAATAAGTAGCATCTTAGCTGGTCACCTTTGTTGGTTTAGTATTTTTGGTTAGTTTTTGTGATCGTGGCACGATGAGCCGAGGTCTTCTTCGCACAATTCGACAGACAAAAGTCCGAGGCGACCCTCCTGCGGTATCCGGTGAGGACAATCTACGAATCCCTTCAAAGTTAAAAGTGTGCCAATACTTTTAGCCATCACTGTCGGATGCTTGCATATACCAACACATAGAGTTTCATGAAAACACACACACACACACACACACACACACACACTCACTCACAGCAAAAAGAGTTTATGTACAGAATTTATGGATAGGCTGAGTCGCTCTGATGGTGTCCGTCGTGCGACGAAGGACGACGAAGCTAATGGACAGCAGGGAATACGTTGTCGTCTTCCGGTAGGATCCACTTTCCAGTCTCTTCACGGGACACTTTTACTCGAAATGAAAGTGAAGTGAACAAGCATAACTCGGGAAACGGTTAAGAATGTGAGGCAGAGGAAGTTGAAGGGATCTTTTGAGGTTGAATCATAATAGATTTCGTCGAGAAGTGCATCCATCTGCAATAAACATGCCACCGAGCCGAGGTTGGATGGAGGCAAGCGGCTGTCAGACCTTGACCTCACTGACCTGGTCGCGTATTCTTCGGAGCCGATTTCTCTGTTGTCCGTCAGCACCCAAAGTCCTCAACAATCGCTCTCCCACCCTCGGCCAAAGAGGACATCCGTCCACCCGTGGCCAGTCGGAAATGCCGATCAGACAACCCAAACGTGTAGTTAGAATCAGTCTCATTTGGCACAAAGTTGTGCGGCCAGAACTGATGAACCCAATCGACATTGACCTCAAACCTTTTCGCGCCAACGACCGTGGACAGCCGCTGTATGTCCACAATTTGCACAAACCTGTCCGCACCGACAGCTACTTGATCTGCTTTCATTACAACGTTGTTTCGACTATTCGAATCTCATCTCAATCCTGCACATCTGACAACAGTGCATCCTACTGCCCCTAGTCAGCGGTTTGCACCGTCCATACTCTTTCTTTCTGTTGCCAGAGCACCTATAGCATCAAAAACTATATCAGAAACACTCTGGCCCACGGCAATATCTACAGATTCTGGCCATTTGATAGTCTACTTTTGGAGAAATTTTCACATTTTGGCAATAAGGGATTCCACAAAAATGCCCGATTAAGATAGAGCACACAAAAATGTAGACAAAAAACTCACACACAGCGTTACTGGTCTTGCTTTTATTCCAATTTTAGTTCCTTCTTGGGTCCCCGAAGCAGGAGGATGGTCGTGTACTGACTTGCCTTTCTGTTTCTCCATTTTAATGAAGGATATATGTTACTTTTTCGTTTTTACATATATT